GATTAGTCGTCTAGCAAAACAAGTGGAACATTCTAAGGAGATCCAAGTTTTCTCTGAAAGGATGACTTCGATAAGTCAAATAAAGGAGTTCATCATGGCTACCATCAAGGATAAGTATGAGGTTAGAATAGAATCCTCTTTTATATATGTAAATTGTACATTATAAATTGATAACTTGAAGATGTTTGTCGATTGTCAACCCAAATATTCAGCTATTTTATGGTAAGGGCAATCAAAAGTAAAGGGTGTCACACTTCCATCGAAATGTGCAACAATGCTGGAAAATATCGTGAATACCCCTTTAAACATTTGTTCATTCCCTTAATAGTGATGCTTTTGATTGGTACACAGACCTCGAATATGATTGCATTAATAGTTAGGAGCAAATGAAGCAAAAATTTATCAATTGTTTTCATAACACAATGAGAGGATGGTAAGTCCATGCAAGCACGGGCCTTAGGTAAATAAAAATTATTATAATTCAATTAATTTAAATAATATTTATTAAATTAAATTCATTTGATTTGAATATGAAAATAGTTCTATAATTTCATGTTCAGGTTAATGAGTTGATGAGTGTACGATCTATCATAAATAAAAGGTTCAAATTTCAGTATGTTTTAATTTTAACATTAATTACTTATTACCTAAATTAGTTTTCAAGACTTAATGCTTGTTAGGAAAAAAATTTATGAAATATAATTGACGAAGAAGATGGCTTTGAGGTGTTGACACCCAATTTGACCATCCACAATATAAATGAATAACCGAACTTCTAAAATTTCAAATGATTTGAAATAATTGATTTTATAAAATTCACACACACACACACACACACACACACACACACACACACACACACACACACACACGCACGCACGCACGCACGCACGCACGCACGCACGCACGCACGCACGCACGCGCACACACACACACACACACACAAATTAAACTTAATTTGGCTAATTTCTTAATTCGATCGGCTATAATTAGGGGTGCATATCGATCGGTTCGGTTTTGAACATTATCGGTTTTGCTTATCGATTATCGGTTAATCGGTTGTCGACCCTTATCGGTTCGGTTATCGGGTTAACCGTTAACATATCACACATTTTTTAAAAATAAAAATCACATGAAGAACAGGAAAAAGGTCCCGCAGGCTGCAAGGCTGCAACGGTGCAACTAAAGTGACAACATACTAGCAATTAGCAAACACTTACACTGCCTTTCTTTTACTTGCTAAAGCACAAAGTCACACACTAAAACACAAACAAAACAGTACATGATTTAATATTCATCGCAACCTTTTTATACTATGGTAGGTGAGCATGGAACCCAACAATCTGGTGGACAAAAGCAAAGACTTGCAATAGCAAGGGCTATCTTAAAGAACCCAAGAATACTACTCCTTGATGAAGCTATAAGTGCACTTGATGCTGAATCAGAGAGTCTTCACAGTAAGGCTATCACTATCAGTAATTCAGTATGCATTTATGCTCAGTGCTCACCCAACTCTCAGCAGTCAGCACAACATAACATTTTCTACTATAAAACACTCGACGCAACAGCCACAGCAGTCAGCACAACACAACATTTTCTACTATAAAACACTCGACACAACAGTCAGCACAACACAACATTTTCTACTAGAAAACACTAGACACAATAGCCACAACAGTCAACAACTCCCCAACAACTCACACAGGCGCAATCAAAATTTCAAAAATTCAAAATAGCAGTCACACAAACTGAAAATTTAGTCCAAACATAGTACTAATATTTCACATTCAAGTAAACAAAATAATAGCTAGTAATCAATTCTTGCGAGTTAACGATTCTGGTTTCTTGTTTCCAAACAATGTTTGACATGATTTCTTAAGGAGGCAGTTCCATTATAGTGCGAATGGTAATAAGCAACACGACCACAATGAATACATTTCACTGTCCACGATCCATCTTCTTTTTCTTCAAGTTTTTCATAGTGATTACAAATAGGTGATCGAGCATTAGAACCATGAAGTTGAGGCATGATGAAATCTGATGAACAAAGAAACAGAGAAAGCATTAGATATTTTAATGATTAAAAGGAAAGATTAGTCAAGATAAAGTGATAAACTGATACAGAACACCAAATTCTACTGGGAGCTTTGCACAAATATTTGTATCAACCATAATATTACATACTCATTACTCATTACTCATCAGAAAAGAGAAGTCAATCATAAATCATGCATAAAGACAAGATAATAAATAACACATGTATGATGTAATATAAGAGACCACCTCAATAGTAAGACATCTACCTTCCTTTTCCTTTAGTAGAGTTAGTGAAGGAAACCTCCAATTTTACATGTCATCAATGCAAAGTTCGTTTCCAAGTTTTGCCAAATCTAAAGGCAAATATAACAAGTCATGGATCAAGACTTAAAAAATAAAAATATAGAATAAACTATTCACAGTTTTACATCAATGAGGTTCTTTTTTTACCTTCTTCAACTTGCTCAAGAAAATCTAAATCTTCCTAAATACTTATGGGTTGTGGCTCACTTCGAAGCCAATCTTGAAGGAACACTAGAGCTTGTACCAATTTAGGAGTTAATGAACTCCTAAACCAATCAAGTATGCGTCCCCCAGTACTAAAAACACATTCAGACGCCACACTTGAAACGGGAATAGACAACACATCTCGAGCCATCTCAGAAAGAATTGGAAATCTAGGGGAGTAAACTTTCCACCAAAGCAATACATCAAAATCTGATTTTTCAACTTCAATTTCTTCATCAAGATACTTAACTAATTCTGACTTTGAACTTGCTCCTCCTTTTTCAATGTATGTTTTTGTAATTCCTCAAAAAAAATTCCAAATTCTCCTTCAGACCTTGAATTAGAAATATCCACCTCAGTTGAAGAAAATTGGTCATTTTTATCAGAATCAACAGGCTTTGTATACTCATTAAACAAAGATTCCATGTATGTTCGCACACCGATTTCTAAAGCAGCCCCTTTTTCTCCAAACATCTTCCTAAGTGCAAAGCCAAGAGTGATAAATTTGTGACGAGGATCCAAAACACATGGTATAAAAACCATTTTATTCATTTTTTCAGTATCACCCCAATATTTATCAAATTTCTCCTTCATATTTTCCGCCATTTTAGCCAAAACATGATCTTTATTTGATATCAATTGATTCAAGTAAACACCAACTTGACAAATTTCAAGAAAATGAAGATTTGATGTAACATATCGTGATCCAGATATCTTCAAAGTAAGATTAAAAAACATTTCAAGAAATTTTGTGATTCGCTTTACGCTCTCCCAATCACTACTCAAATGTGTACCTGTAGAATTTTTATCCACCATATCAACAAACTTAAGATGTAGTCAAGCCAATATCACGATCGGCGTACTCTACAATTGCACCTTCATATTCAATTACCCGCTTCAACATCATGTAAGTTGAATTCCACCTTGTAGGAACATCCAAGCTTAAAGACTTTTTAGAGAGATTTTCATCTTCACAACATTCTTGAAACTTTTTTCACCTAGCAGGAGATTGTCTGATGTATCTCACTGCTTCCCTAACTCGTTCAATAGATACATTTACTTCTTTTGTACCGTCTTGAACAATAAGATTTACAATATGAGCCATACACCTTATATGAAGGTGACTACCACCCATTAGGTTGGTCCTCCATTTAGTTAATTGCTTAGACAACTCAGTTATTGCCACACTATTTGAACCAGCATTAACAACTGTAACGGTGAAAATGTGATGCAATCCCCACTCATGTAAGCACTTACTAATAGACTTTCCAAGATCTTCACCTCTACGACTAGTGATTGGACAAAAATTGATAATTCTTTTATGCAAAGTCCAATTTTTATCAATCCAATGAGCAGTAATGACCATATAATTAATTCTTTGGATGGAAGTCCAAGTATCAGTGGTTAAAGACACCCTTTGTTTTGTTCCCTTAAAAACAGCCATCAACTTATGTTTTTCTTCATCAAAAAGATTAAAACAATCACGAGTCACAGTGGTACGAGAAGGAATGTGGAAACAAGGTTGTGCTACTTTCATAAATTGTTTAAAACCTTCTTTTTCAACAAATCTAAAAGGAAGTTCATCAATAATTATCATACGACACAAGACCTTTCGACACTCTTCCTGATCAAATTTCCATGGAACAACAACTACATCACCCTTGTTACCACCTATCATTGGTTGAAATGCTAATCTTGATTGTCTAATATCAATGTTATAAGGCATCTTAGGGAATTTGGATATATGAGTAAGCATTGACGTCGTACCATGTTCTTTTGTATCAGCAAAATACTCTTTCTTACAGTAGTTGCAAACACCCTTTTCATTTCCATCAGAATCAGTTTTATGAGAAAAATGATCCCACGCACGAGATCTTTTTTTCCTCTCTTTCTTTACTAGAGGCTCAACAATTTGACTTTGATCTATTGCATTTGAATTAGAAGCTCCACTTTCACCAACAACCTTATCAGTTATGACATTTTCAGCCATGATACTTTCACTAAAAAGTGCGAAAAGATATGCCATAATCGTTTATTGAACTATTTTTTATAAGATCTAGATGAAGCAATGAATTATTGAAACCTTGAAGGAACTAAAAAAGAGTAAGCAGCTTTATTCAAGCAAAAAATACCAAGTACAATCAGTTGGCTAATTAGAGTTGTTTTGCGACAGGACATAGGATTTTTTGACACAGAACTGAATATTGGTGAAATTATGCATGGAATTTCGAGTGATGCACCCCTAAATCCAAGAATTAATGGGAGAAAAGGTACATTTTTTGTCCAATGCTAAGTGCTAACAGATAAGTTTTCACTTTTTATAGTGCTCCCAATGCTAAGAAATAATCTTCTTCGGTTAAATTAAACCCATAAAAATGCATTTGGCAAAGAACAAGAAGACATCTGATATCACGAAGGATACAAACTACACTTCGTTAAACAAGTTAGAGTTCCAATTTGTGAACTACTGATCATATTGCCCCATCTAAGCTCAGCACACATACCATAATCAATTAAATTGCTTCACAAATCCACATGTTCTTGTAAACAAATAATGCAGCATGAAATCATATACAACACAGCGCGAAGGGTAATAGATACAACACAGCGCGAAGGGTAAACAAATAATGCACCATGAAATCATTGTTAGTCGTTACCCTGTAAGACCGATATGCACCCTTAGTTGTCTCCTCGCCGGACGCCTGACGGCCTGAGTAACTCGTTGGTTAGTTGAGTTCCATCCTCGCCTCACCAGAGTTTCGAAATTGGAGACTGGAGAGAGTGGCGGAAGTAGAAGGACGAAGGTTTCTCCTTTCTAGACTTTGTAACCTAATTGTGAATTAGAAAATTAGAAAATTTAGGGGGAAATAGTCGGGTAATCGGGTGACCCGGGATATTTCCTTCCCAAATCCGTCACCCGAACCGGTAATCCAATTAAAAAAATTAGTGAACCGGTCCCCGACCCAATTACCCAATAGCCCGACCCGTTAACCCAATAAACTGAAAATCGGTTCGGGTTAATGGTTTTACCCGTTTTTTCACAGCCCTAGCTATAATTGTAATCAAATGGATCAAATTCTCAATGTCAATGAAATCTCTTTTCTTACCTCACTTTAAACCCATTTGGAGATCAATTTTGGTCTTTTTTAGTGTCATTTCCAGCAGCCCAGTTCTCTTCTTTCTCGTGCAGTCCAGCAGAACGAAGAAACCGAGCGATTCAAGCGACAAAGCGAACTGTACAAAATTTCAACCTTATCCTTCCGTACCAAGAGTGTCTCCTCTCTCCTTATCCTTTCGTACCAAGAGCGTTCGCAAATCAGTACAGGTGTCTTTATCTCCGTCCTTCATCATCCTTTGCTCGAATCGGACGGTCCCCTCTTTGAATCCTTTGAGAACTGTACAAAATTTCAACCTGTTTCTTTCAGGGAATTCGAATTTGAAATTTTAAATTCAATCTATTTCCCTCCAAATCAAATATTATCTTATTCTTTTTAAAGTCCTCACTCTCTCCGTTCTAAAGGTTGGAGATGGTTGATTTTAAGTTTGGAAAAGTTTGAAACAAAGTTGGAAAAATTGAAGGGACACAGTGAGAAAGAACTAAAGAAAGAGTTGTTCGTTTACGTTAAGACGATAGTATTCAAATAACTATTTTTTGATTTGTTCGCTTAGGCTATCCAAGTTTTCCATTGGAGTCCCTCTCTCATCACTGCTCATTAGTGTCTCAACTTGTTAGTCTCAAGTCTTTCTTTGCTCTGTTCGTTTATTGGTCGAGTCTAATTGAGCAGGTCTTGTAAAATGTGTTGGTGATAGGAGTTTCGTATTAAGGGCCTTAAGTCTCACTGTTTGAAGCATCTTATAGTTACATGATTGTTATGTTAATTAGATTTTAGTCTCATTTGTCTGATTCAATATCAGTTTCATAACTTCCTTTACTTGATTTATGTCTCGTGGTTGCTTGGAAAGGCTGAAACCTTACATCTTTGTCCAGTGACTTCATTGTTTGACAATTTTATTTTATTTTTGTAATTTTTTTTCAGATCTGTCATGTTTCATTTTGTAGTATTTCGACTCTAGCATAACTTTGGTCTCTTTAGTAATGGTATTACTGAGTTATGTTGTGATTTTGCTTCAAATATCTCGTTTATTTCGAAATTGTTAAGTGTACCACTTTGAGATTGAGATTGTGTTTTATGATTACATTAATGTTTATGAAGTTGGATGAGGAGACAAGACTGTTTTGGCTTAATAACATGACTATTGAATACTAGTTTGTTCTGGTAATATAGATGTAAAATCTTGTTTTAGAAATTATCTTTTTAAAAAAAAAATAGACTTGGGCTATGATTCTAAACATTTTTTACTATCTTCCTCTGTTATATTTAGTAGTATGTCAAAAGATTTGATACCCAGGGCATGATCACATGCTCTTAACTAACCAACCTTCATTTTGTGTATTTGGATATATGCTTCACTTCCCTGTTACGTATGCTGGTAGTTTTCTTTTAACTATTTCTTATTTCTTATTAATTATTCTCATGGTATAGTAGTTTCAAGTGTAAATGCTAATGTTTCACTCTTTATTTGCATGTGATATCAATTCGAGTCCACTTTTGCATTTCTATGAGTTAAACTTTTCTTTGAGTCACCCTCATCTTGTTTAAGTGAAGGGGGAGAAATTACAGGGGCAGGAACTGATTTACAGTTCTTGGTATAGTCCAAAACGGACTATATAGATGTGAATATACACCGGGATACATTGATATACAGAAGTATATGTGATATACAAGGCAAAAATCAGCGTATACATGGTTATAAAACGGAATTACGGGTGTTCGGAGATGAAATATATTATATTCATTTAATTTATGTGATGATATGCAGAAAAACACGTCAGTATACAGACTATATACATGAGTATACACTCAGTACACGTGCAGATTTTTCTGATGGAGAAATGGGCTTAAAGCCCAATATTTTACAGCAGGTTCAGTAGAAACTTTTGGGACCTATCAAGCCATTTTGGACAAATTTTTTAGAGTTAGGACAGGTGGGTCAAAGGCCCAACTTAGTTGAAATTGGGCAATTGACCCAAGTTCAAACATTTTCTCCTTTTCCCTCTTTACTTATTTATTGTATTTGACTAACACTTTTGGTTTTAATTTTAATTATATTCCCAAGATAGCAATTTCTCTTCATATTCAAAAATAAAATAAAATAATACAAAATATTTATTTTTGTTATAAACAATTTGTATTGTAAAGAATGTCTAATTATGTGGAGTCCTAGTAGGATATGGTTAAGAATCCTACTTGGGGACCATGTAAGGTTTTCCCTATAAATAAAGGATTTTCCTTTATTGTAAAGAAGATTGATAAAAAGTTTATGAATCATGAATATACTTCAAGAGAAATAAGAAGTCTTTTCTCTTCTCCCTACTTTCTTGTTCTTCTAAATTTATATAGTTTCATAACACGTTATCAGCACGATTGTTCTATTCTTTAAGAATGATGAAGAAGCGGAAAAAGTGCAAAAGACATCTTGCATAAGTTATGCAATAAAGTTCTTATATCTTTAAGGTATGATTTATCTTTATGTTCTAATTATTTATGTAACAGACTTGGAGGTACCATCTAAAGTAAGTATTTAAAGAGACTTGTCAACTTTCTATACATTTAATTTTAATCGACTGAGAAGAAAATTCTTTAATTTATTTTAATAATTAAATAACCACAATTTAGTGAAAGATATGTTTTCAATCTTCATATTAGGTACGTGATCTATTAAACTATATCTATTAACTGCTAGTGTTGATTATAAGAAATCAATATTCTCAATTTTGTGTGTAATTATAATATGTGATCATATTAATGATCATCAAAAGTGATAAATTTGCAATTATTTTAAAGGCTTGAGGTTGAGCCTCATTGTGGGTACGACGATAAATTTAAGTTTTATCGCACCAAAAAAAGATAAGACGATGGATTCAAGTCCAGTTGCACCAAGATGGTAAGACGATAGATTCATGTCTAATCGCACCAACAGGGTAAGACATCAGAATTCTTGATGCTTTGTGATGAAAGATGTTGGATTCAAGTCCCTCATTGATTTATGGCATAAGACGTTGAGTTTGAGTCTCAATGCATCGTATTGATGATATTATGATGACTAAGGGAAATAACGAGTTTTTGATAAAATTAGTCATGAAATATATCTCGTTAAGCAGATCCATTCCCTAAAGTGAATGTAGCGGTGCATAAATGTCTAAAAGAAGACAATTGATTGAATGATGCACATGAATATTGAATGAGGTACTAAGTTATCAGAATTTGATGTACTTAGATGATTGTGTTCCATTCATGAAGAATGAGAGTCTTTGATAAATGGTAAAAATACAGATCCACTCTTTAGAGTGAATGAGGTGATAAGCCACCATGCTAGACGTGAATTTTCTTATACTCCTTGTTAACAAGGCAAGTTAATTGTGAGACCATCATAAATGAAAGTTGAGATTGAATTCATTCAATGATGGAATCACGACTCACCTAAAGGGTAAAGTAATTGAGAAGAAATAAATCTAAAAATTACTCTTGGAGTAATAAAATTGAAATTTACTCATAAAATAGTAAATCATAAATTTACTAAAGCAAAAGGCACATGGCGTAGTAAACTTGGAGTTTACGAGTACTACTAATTTTATTAGTTGGCATGAATAATTTGGTCATCCCAAAGATATGCATACTGAGTAATGGACATATATTGAAAAAATGAAGATTCTTCCAGAATTCTTTACGCTGCTTGTTCTCGTGATAAAGTTGATTGGATCAACCAAAGTTGGGACTAAATCCCTAAATTCTGAAAAGTATAAAAGGTGAATATGGATCCATTTACCTATCATGTGATATAATAAAAAGATGCATCAATAAGATAATCACATGTGGCTTTGTTGTCATGTCAACAGTAGTTTGACATTCACAAAATTGTTTGTGCAAAAATAATTGAGTTAAGAGCACAATTTCAAAATATGTAATCAAGACAATTTATCTTGGTAATATTGATAAATACTCAAGATGATGTGACACTAAATGTCTCACATAGTGAATCATTGCTTATGAAAATAAAGTTTCATGTGTTGATCTGAAATATGATATTACATACAAACATAATTGTATAAATCAAACCAATAAGTTATGATCAATTTTTCTGTTAATTGGTTTATGGCCAGGGACCAAATAGTTTTCATCTGATAATTTTGATGTGCAATATATGATTAATGAATATACTATGATGCACAAAGATAGATTCTCCAAAAGATTGAGATATATGTTAGGTTGTCTAACATAAGGGGCAGAATAGAAGCAACAAAAAAGTTGTAAATACTCCTATTGAATGTCCCTTAAGGATAAAGTCTATGACATACATGAAGCATGATAGACTAATCAATTCTAAATAAAATAATCCTTGAAAAAAGGGGAGGATCAAAGAATCAAAATGATCATAATAAGGAGACAATGTGCTCTTGGAGAGCCTACGACATAACACTTTATGAAACCTCATGAGAGGGATAGCTACCTAAAAATAATGAAGTGATGAGATCTCAATAAGTTTTGTCGTATTGTGAATCGATACAAAATGATATATCGTTGACGATATCTTTGATACAATAGCGCGCAATATTGTAAAAGATTACGAGGATATGAATTCTACATCTATTAAAGCACACGTGTATAGAAATAATAATCAAGTGAAAAGTGGAATGATGCATCTTGGTAAGCGTAAAACTTATTTGACTTGCAATCTAGTCACTAGAATACATCATACATTTAATATTGAATGTTATCACTTGACAAATTTAATATGAAAAGTCATGAAGGATTCAAAATCTAAAGTATGTGCAAGTTTTTGGAGAACTTGTTTATAATCTTTATAAGAATTAAATCGATTCAAAATGCATGAAGCATATACAAATATTGTTGTGCAAGTTGATAACTAGAATTGAAACTCTTGAAGAGTTTTCAAAAGACAATAGATTATTTGCTTAAAGAAGTTAAAGTAAGGAACTTGCAGAAATCTTTGATCTTGAAGGAAAGATTCATAAAAGTAGATAGAAGAAAACATATTTCGTCAAGATTTTTCTACTCATGAGCTCCCAAGAATGGTGATATCAACATGCAAGAGGTATGTTCAAGTAACATTATTGTTAATTTATTCACCAAGTCTCTATCAACTACAACTTTCAAGAAGATGATGCACAAGCTTGGAAAATGAAGATTCTAGTCTCCGAATTGGTGTTCTCATAAGGGGGAGTTAATACGCGATGTACTCTTTTTCTCTCACAAGGTTTTGTCCCATTGGGTTTTCCTTGTAAGATTTTTAATGAGTTATCCATAATACGTATTATTGGATATGTGTACTCTTTTTTCTTCACTAGATTTTTTTCCCACTGGGTTTTATCTAGTAAGGTTTTAACGAGGCACATAATCTATCGACATTCAAGGGGGAGTGTTATAAACAATTTGTATTATAGTGAATGTCTAATTATGTGGAGTCCTAGTAGGATATGGTTAAGAATCCTACTTGGGGACCAAGTAAGGTTTTCCTATAAATAAAGGATTTTCCTTTATTGTAAAGAAGATTGATAAAAAATTTATGAATCCTGAATATACTTCAAGAGAAATAAGAAGTCTTTTCTCTTCTCCCTACTTTCTTGTTCTTCTAAATTTATATAGTTTCATGACAATTTTATATATATGTTTACTACTTAGCTTTTATTTTAATATTGGTCTTGTTAACCCTTATGACTTTTTCCCTTTAGAAATTCCCCTATTTCCTTTTCCCATCAAGGTAATATAATAAATGAAATAAGTAAAAATAAATAAGAAATAATTTCTTTTTGAATCAACTTAACTTAGTCAAAAATTTGGAAATATTTGTAAAAGGTCATTTTTAATTAAATCGCCGGTCAACAGCAAGTTAGCAGGCAATCCGAGGGCCTAACACCTTCTCGGAATATACATTGAACTTCGAATCCTTTTTCAATTGATTTTATCTGTTTAAATCTTTTTTAAATAACTATAAGTTTTTCTTGATTTTTTTATTAAAAATTAAGTGGTACTCTGTTAATTCAGAAAATCGATTTCTCTTAAATCATAAGATTAATTGATTTTTTGAAACTTATTTATCTTTTTTTATATATATTTTTTTGAGTAAAACATGAGACGTGTAAAATTACTTTCTTTAAAGAGATATTGCCCGTATATATATATTGGAAAATTACACACAAATCCCTCAGGATACAACAAAATGTTTTATTTATACATGCAAATTTTTCTTAACAACTTATAGAGAGTCTTTATTTATAGAACTTAAGAGATGATTTTTCATAAGAGTCGTGTTCTTTCATGATGACTTTTTATAAGAGTCATGTTCTTTCATGAACAATCTATTTAATTTAAGACTTTCATATATTAGAAAATATCCAACAATACTAACATCAATTATTAGGGTAAGTGTAGTAAAATATCCATGTCAATCGTTATTTTCTTAATAGATAAGTCAAATTCAAACGTGATAAGTATAAAGTAAATGAAAAAGTATTAAAAAGAATTGAAAGGTAAATTAGTAAAAGATACTCTTCAATAATCATGTCAATCGTGGTTTTTTTAAATAAATATATCAAGTACGAATGTAATAAGTACAAAGTAAACGAAAAAAATAATTAAAAAGTAAATTTTAAAAAAAATTGTTTAAGATTTTTTAAAAAGTGTGTAGATAAAAATATGAATAAACAATAGGAAGGAATAAAGTATTAAAAAGAACTAAAGGGTAAATAAGAGATTTTTTGTATTCATGATTTTTTAAAAAGTGTGTAAATTAAAATATGAACAAACAATATGAAGAAATCAATTTTCATTAAAAAGGGTATGTAAGGCCAACTTCGATTTGTGTTTACCTTAAATGATCTCATTCTCTCTTTTCTCTTGTCTTTGTTAGCGACTAGTCATTATGATTTGTTTGCTATTTAGTTTTCAGCCCTCTGTATGTGTCCATCTTCCTTATGTCATGTCGTTAGAAGTATTTAGTTTCGGATTAAGAGTTGTGTTTGGTTTAATATAGTTTTCACCTTTGGATTATTCATCTCAAATCAGAATGCTCACTATTTGCAAATAGAGTCAGCGTGAATGGCGAGTTTCTTGTTCTATGCTCCAATTCATATCTTGTTGGAATAAATAGGGTCCTTTACGTTGTTTGGTTTCTAGAAATAGGTGAAAGATGAAACCTTGTGAATCATTGTAGAATTAAGATTCTATCAAATTCCCCCTTTTTGATGAAGACAAACCTGTGTAATGCAACATATATTTCCAACATATATCTTCCCCTTTTTGACAAATTCAAAAAGAGTCCAACAGCGGCTAAACAAAACCAA